CTGTGCAAGGGCAATGGCAGACTGGTTGTCCACAAACACAGGCACACCACCAGCAAACTCATGCCCAAACTCCCCAAACAAACGCTTCAGCCACACACCCTCCTGAATGCACTGACACAGACTGATGTACTCACTCTCAGTGGTAGTCAATGCAACCACCGGCTGCCTCTTGCTCTGCCAAGAGATGGCTGCACCATTAAGGCAATAGACATAGCCGGTGTGACTCTTGCGATCAGCTGAATCTCCAGCATAATCAGCATCACTAAAGCCCACCAACTCAACCTGAGGCTTGCTGTGTGCGGGGTAGAAGATACCTGACTTGACACAACCTTTCAGGTACCTTAGCACTCTCTTAGCAGCCTGCAGGTGAAATTCCTTGGGACAAGACACCACCTTGGACAGCTGTGACACTGCATAAGCAATCTGGGGCTGTGTGGTCGTGCTTGCATACATGAGAGACCCCACAATGCTTTGATAGAGCTGGACCAGCTCATCTCGCAGCAAGGGCTCCTCAGCATGTGCATGCACGTCGAACCCTGTAGGGAGAGGGGTACGCACGGGGTTAGCCTCAGAAAGGCCAAAGGACTCAAGCATGTTGAGAATGTACCTCTCCTGATGAATCAAGATGCCAATCTCATCACGCTCAATCTGCACCCCCAAATAGTACTTAGCCTCCCCCAAGTCCTTCATGCGGAAACGAGAGGACAAGAGACCCTTCACCTCGTCCAGCAAGACCATGCTCGAAGACATGAGCAGAATGTCATCCACATAGAGGTAGAGGGACAGCCTGCCCTCATGCCTCACCAAGTGGTACAAGGCGGGGTCACACTCCGACCTCTCAAACCCAAAATCCATCAGTGCCTCGTCAAACTTGAGGTACCACTGCCTTGGAGCTTGCTTTAGCCCATAGATTGATTTCCTGAGTCGGCAAACTCTGCCGGACCCATCATCAAAACCAGGGGGCTGCCTCATGTACAGCTCCTCCTTCAAGACCCCATGAAGATAGGCAGTGGTCACATCCATGTGATGGATGTGAAACCCCGAAGATGCTGCCATCCCAAGGGAACCTCTCAGGGTGGTAGGTTTACCCACCGGGGTATATACCTGGTCATAGTGAACGCCTCGTGTTTGAGTGTTCCCCATGGCCACCAACCTGGACTTAGGCCTCTCAATACTCCCATCAGCCATGTGCTTATACTTCCACACCCACTGACACCTCAAGACCTCCATTCCAGGTGGCACACAAGCTGGATCAACCAGCTCAAAAGACTCGTTCACCCTATGAGACGCAAGCTCCGCACGCATGGACTCGACCCACTCAGGACGGGACAAGGCCTCCTTGACCGACTTGGGCTCATGCACCTGACCCATGAGACAGAAATCAAGCCCAAGCTCACCCCCCTCAGCATCCACAAACATGCACTCCTTCAAGTCATGCACCTCATGATCATGCATGCAAGCATACTGTGCACTTGGTGTGAACCTTTCAGGTGGCCGGGAGATGCGTGTGGTGCAGCGCAGAGGTGAAGCCTCCCCCTGCTCCAAACTTTGCAGCTTCTCCTTCCAAGTCACTCTCTTCATGGGGGACCGTGGTGACTTGGACAGCTGCTGCTGCAGTAGCTGCTGCCACCTACCCACAGGAACAGGCGGTGTATGCTCCTGTGGTGGCTGCTGCGGCTTCTCTTGTTGCTGCTGCTGCTCCTGTGGCTGCTCCGGGTCATGGGCTGGTGCGTTAGGGTCAGGGGTAGAACCAGCAGTTGGTGACTCCTCATGGTGAGGTGCAGCTGCCTTTTGTTCCTCTTGCTGCTCCTCTACCTCCTCTCCAGGGTCCTCCCATGCCCCCTCAAAGATGGAAGAGGTGTAGGGATCCTGAAGGGAGCTCCCAACTGTACTAGCACCATGCTCCTTCCACCCCTTATAGCTCAGCCCCTCGTGGAAAACCACATCCCGGCTTTCCACCACCCGCTGATCCGCCACACTCCACAACATCCAAGCTTTGCTCCTCTCCGACACCCCAAGAAAAATGCCCCATTGTGCCTTAGGATCCAGCTTCCTCCATTGCTGGTCGGGCACTTTGTACTGCGCCATGCACCCCCCACACTCGTGCCATGGACACACTAGGCACCTTCCTGGTCCACATGAAGTAAGGGCTCTTGCCCCCTAGCCCCTTGCTGCCCATTCTGTTCTTAACCCAGTTGACATATTGCACTGCTGCCCCCCACCAAGTATGGTCCAGCTGCGCATGAGCAAGCATGGCTCGGGCAAGGTCAATGAGGGTCCGGTTTAGCCGCTCCGCTGCCCCATTTTGCTGCGGCGTGTAGGCAACTGAAAGCTGGTGGGTGATGCCCTTGTCTTCAAGGAAAGACTCCAGATCCTTCCCCATGTACTCCTCACCCCGATCAGACCTTAGTATCTTCACCTTCGCCCCGGCTTCCCTCTCCGCATAGCGTATCCAACGTTTGAAGACCTTGGCCACCTCATCCTTGGTTTTCACCAAGGTAACCCAACTTAGGCGGCTGAAGTCATCCAAGAAGGTGATGAAGTATTTGCTGCCCTTCTCCCTATCCGGTGTTTGCATGGGGCCACACACATCCGTGTGCACCAACTCAAGAGGTGCGGAGGCTCTAGTGGTGGAGGTAGGGAAAGAGGTCCTTGGCAGCTTCCCGGTCGTGCAATCAGGGCACTTGCTTGGCTGCCCACCACCCTCCTTGATCTCCACACCCTTCAGCTCCCCCTTCTTCACACACTCCACAAGTTGCTGCCTTCCTGCATGCCCCATGCGTAGGTGCAGCAAATCTGCCGTCACCTGCTCCACGTCCCTCCAACGGGTGCTACAAGCGGCTTCCTCGGCTTCAACACCATGTGCCTTCTCCACCTGAGGCACACAAACTGGAACAAGGTATAGACCCTTCTCTAACTTGGCCTCCATCACCACAGCTCCACCCTTGCGAACCGTGCCACCTTCCAAGGTGAAGGTGCATATGTATTCTTGCCTTGCAAGCTGAGAGCATGAGAGAAGGTTGGCTGCCAATGCAGGAACATGAAGCACACCCTTCACATTCAGCACCCCCCCCTCCTTCCCCTTGACGGTGATGGTGCCGATGCCGATTGCTTGTAGCGCATCTCCGCTCCCCACAATCACATTTCTGGAGTTAGGTGGGAGGGAGTGATAGGTGGTGAAGAGGTCGCGCCGAGGTACCATTCCACAGGTTTCTCCAGAGTCTAGAATGAGCTGATTGGGGTCAGCCAATGTACGACCAGCAAGCGCCGTCTCTATCTCCAAGGATAAGAAGGAGAATCCATCATCCGCTGAGTCCTCCTTTCCCTTCTTATCCTCGTTTGCCGCCGCTGCTGCCACTTTCTCTTTGCTGCCCTTCTTGTTCCATGCTCCATTCTTCATCCTCCTCTCCACCCACTCAGGCCTAGTGACAGGTGGAGCCTCTCCTGGGTACCCTTGAGGCTTCCACCCATCTGGTCGGCTCCAGCACTCCTTCCAAGAGTGCTTCCGGTTGCATCCAGGGACGAGGCACTTGTCGAGATCCTTCTTCTTCCCCCCACCTCCTTGCCGCTGCTGGTATTTCTTGGAGGCAGCCCTATCCCCTGCCCCCATTCCCCCTTCAACTCCTCTACCAGCATCCCGTTTGCGAGCCTCATCAGAGACCAACACCTCCCATATCCAGGTCTTGGTCCATTTCTGTTGCTCAAGGTGAAGGTACTGCAGTAGGGCCTCATTCGCCTCTTGGTCCAGCCCCTGGAGTGCGGTGTAGATGATCTCCTTCTCATCTACAGTGTAGTTCAACTCCTCTAAGGCTCTCACATACTCATCCACCCTCTGGAGATACTGCACCATGGTCTCCCCATCACCATAGTTGCGTTCCATGGTGTAAAACCGCTTCCTCCATGTGAGTATGCTTAGCAGTCCCTTTTGCAAATGGCGATCTTGAACTCTCTTCCATGCTTGGGCAGCTGCTCCTTGCTTTCCCTTCAGGTCAATCAGCATCTTTAGGAGCTCTAGTTGGCCTTCCAAGGCCCAACACAGGTACTGGAACGCTTGCTTGTCCTTGCGGTCCCATGCTTCCTGTGCCTTGATAAGCTCCTCCGCACTAAGCCGTTGCCTTCCGGTTCGCGGTGCTGCTGATCCACCTCCACTTCCCTCAGGTATGGATGAGCTAGAGGCCCCCCCAGCCCCTTATCCCACTTGGCTAGAGACTCCAGTAGATGCCTTTCCTTCATCAGCTTCAGGTCTTCGCTCCGATCCCTCCAAAACGCCCTCTAGGTCTTTAATACCTAGCCAGAGCGTAAACTGGAACCGCCATAGCGAAAAATCCGAGCCGGTGAACCTAGGAGGGCCATCTAATTTCTGGGCCATAACCAACCATAGATCTGGAGGTTCTTAAGCCAATTCGAAATATGATAATAGGAGGGAATGTCGCAGGCCTAACAAGCTCTGATACCACTGATGGAAAGCGCGCGAATCTGGAGAGCGTAACAAGAGATTAAGTCCGCCGACTTCGGCGAACCATTGCGTGCAGCTCACGTAACCTAAAACTATGAGCGGGTACGCGTTGGAAAGCTCTTAATCTCTACTTTCCAGAATAGTAAAGCACGCCTTTAACCAAGATCTAGGCCGATCGCTATCGCGATTTAAGTGCGACGGGGTATCCTGGCGGAATTACTTGGCAGCCATGGATTAGATCTAGGAATGGCTTAAGCAAGAGTTCAGATCTGAAAAGTGACGAGTTGTTCAAACCCTACCAACCCAACCCTCGCCCTACAACAATCCCCAACAACCCAAAGTGCTAAACTAGCAACACCAAAGGTGTTGTAGTGAATAGCAAAGGTTTGTTGGTGCTTGTTGGGTGCGAGATCAATTCCAGCCCGCAACAAGCCCGTTCATGCATGCCATGCCATCCCCACAGCCACACGGATGTTCACACAGACAAACGGAGCTGAGCATTCCACAAGGGATTGAGCCTGAGCGGGCTCATTCGTCCCCTTACATGGCTCGTTCGTCCCCTTACATGGCTCGTTCGTCCCCTTACATGGCTCGTTCGTCCCCTTACATGGCTCGTTCGTCCCCTTACATGGCTCGTTCGTCCCCTTACATGGCTCGTTCGTCCCCTTACATGGCTCGTTCGTCCCCTTACATGGCTCGTTCGTCCCCTTACATGGCTCGTTCGTCCCCTTACATGGCTCGTTCGTCCCCTTACATGGCTCGTTCGTCCCCTTACATGGCTCGTTCGTCCCCTTACATGGCTCGTTCGTCCCCTTACATGGCTCGTTCGTCCCCTTACATGGCTCGTTCGTCCCCTTACATGGCTCGTTCGTCCCCTTACATGGCTCGTTCGTCCCCTTACATGGCTCGTTCGTCCCCTTACATGGCTCGTTCGTCCCCTTACATGGCTCGTTCGTCCCCTTACATGGCTCGTTCGTCCCCTTACATGGCTCGTTCGTCCCCTTACATGGCTCGTTCGTCCCCTTACATGGCTCGTTCGTCCCCTTACATGGCTCGTTCGTCCCCTTACATGGCTCGTTCGTCCCCTTACATGGCTCGTTCGTCCCCTTACATGGCTCGTTCGTCCCCTTACATGGCTCGTTCGTCCCCTTACATGGCTCGTTCGTCCCCTTACATGGCTCGTTCGTCCCCTTACATGGCTCGTTCGTCCCCTTACATGGCTCGTGTTGTGCCAAAGTACTATAGTGGCACGGTCATCGCACTCCCATTCAGCCTACAAGCCTTCTCAGATTCTGGAATTTTGTGGGGTGGTGCTTCAACATGTGTTCTTCAAACCCTCAAAGTTTCAGAATGTTTGAAGCAGTTTACAAGGCATGCCAACATTTTTAGTTTCAAGACTTATGGCATCCCGGAAGTGTGTGTTACTCTTTTTTGGTAACACCCGAGTTCACCATTTCGGCTGCTGACTCATCTACCGAGCCCTGATTGGTCTGAAAATCGGTGTGGCAGTCTTTTGCCGTGTTGTGCAGGTGGTCACCGAGTTTCAGGACAACCCAGCATCGGAGCAGCACGTGACAGCTGTCGAAAGTTACTGTTCCGTAGTCATGGTGCACTGTTGGCAGCATTTCCCTTGCCACCCTTGCATTGTTGTCATGCCAATGGTGCAGGGACAGAGAATGAGACAAGAAGTACAGGTAGTCAAGTGGGACTCTACCACCCTCCTTTTGAGAAGTGTGGTCTTCCTGGAAGCAGCTTGCAAGAGGGTGCAAGTGGGAAGACAAGCTGACTCATGGTTGGCTTGACTCACTATTGGTAGCCTTGAGTACAGCTCTGAACATCCAAGTGTGGTTGGCTTTGCTGACCTAGATAGGACGTTTCCCATCCTTCTCTAGCCTTTCTCCCCTAGGACTCAACCTTCTCTGAGTTCCCAGGATGGTCCCAACCCCTTAAGAGTCCCCTAGGCAATGTTGCACTCAACCTCTTCCTTGCATCAATGAAGCTACTCGTTTTTCAGCCGAGCTTACGTTTTTGTTGACTACGTAGCGCATACACCTCTGATGAAATCAAGCCATATACCGTTGGAAAGCAGACACCTGAAGCTAACGTCTGTCCAAGTTTCAGCCTCGTTTATTATCGGAGCTGATCGTGACGGCGTTTTGAACAGAGACGGTTCGAAGTCACCAGATTCTGCTTAGGCGGTTTCAAGGGCATCTACGACCCCTAAGTGGACTCTAGACTATAACAAGTGGTATCAGAGTGGTTCTTCTCTGTTCCTGGGTCAATATGGAGGCTGAAGGTTCTGCTCCAGCTGGTCCTAGTGGCAGTGGTGGCGTGAGAGGCGCTGGGGAAGCAGGAAGAGGCATTGTAGGCGGATCTGCACCAATAGCATCCGTTTCAACACCAGCCAAGGATGATGTGAAGGCATTCAACCTAGAGAAGTTCTCTGGGGAGCATTGGGCATCATGGAGCTTCAGGATGGAGCTCCTATTTAACCATTACGGGCTGCTTGAATTGATGGATGGAGAATTGAAGAGGCCTGCGAGCGAAGGAGCGACCAAGGAATGGGATCGCCGATCCAAGGATGGATTCTTCCTTCTCTCTCAATGCCTCTCATCCAACCAGCTGCACCACATCAAGCATCTCATCAAGGATATCCAGTGTGGTCCCAAGGCATGGAAAATATTGAAGGATGTCCATGCCCCCAGCAGCGAAGCGATGGTGGTGGTGCTCGAACGACAACTCCATGCGGTGAAGATCAACGAGGGTGATGCCGTGCAAGGAGCATTCGATCAACTCCGGGACCTCTATGTGAAGCTCTCTGCTGCTGGTGTGGACTACACGGAAAAGATCAAGTGCTACAAGGCTCTCTCCCTGCTGCTGGAGTCGTGGGGCCCCTTGGTGGTCAACCTCAATGGCATGAAGGACTCATGGTCCCTTGAGTGGATTCGTGCTCAAGTCCTTCAAGAGGAGTTTCGGAGGAAGGAGCTGACTGCCGCTGCCGGTGAAGGTGGAGGCTCTGCCTATGGCATGAAAGGCTTCAAGGGACGTGGCAGCAAGAAAGGCAAGGCCAAGGAAGGCTCTGGAGGGGAGCAGTATTCGGGAGGGAAGCGTAGCAACAAGGGAGGCAAGCGGTGTGGCGGCAAGTGTTGGTATTGCCATGTGGAAGGTCACCCATGGTTTAAGTGTCGCAAGCTACCTGATGGTTGGAGGCCTGGTCAGCCATCAATTGAAGGCTCTAAGGGTGTTCATGGAGCTATGGGAGAAGGCATGGGCAGTGAGGAGGGCGATGGAGGTGCCGGCGGACATGGCGGCATGTTCTACCATGTAGGAGAGGCATGCTCCGAGGATATGGTTGTACCGGCCAGCAAGGTTGCTCTTCACCGTTCCTCCCATTGGGTCATCGACACGGGAGCCTTCATGACCATGACCAACCGAGAGGATCTGCTGGATGAAGTCAGACCATCAAAGGCAGCCACCGTTGTTTCGGCCACCGGCCAAGTTGTACCCGTGCGTGGCGAGGGGAGAGCCATGTTTATGGGTGCGGATGGGAGGCTTGTGGGGCTGAAGCGTGTTCTCCTTGTCCCTGGACTATGTGCCAACCTTCTCTCTACCAAGGCATTGAGTGAGGCAGGGATGAAGATGGAGATGATGGGCACAAAGGTGTTCAAGGCAACTCTGGATGGGCGCGTGTTGTGGGACCTCCGAGGCGGCAAGGACATGCACCGGTCCATGTGGGAGATACCGGTGCTGCCATGGAAGGAGGCGGCTGCGCGCTTGGCTGCTGAAGCTATAGGAGGAGGGCATGCAAGCCACGTAACCAGTGGAGGAGGTGGTGATGGCAGTGATGGTGGGCTGCTTGTGCATGGGGAAGTTGCGCTACCAAGTGTAACTCCTAGCACGGGTGAGACGGATTGGCTCACCGCACACCATCGCTTTGGCCACGTGGCGCTACCTCAGTTACAGCAGCTGTTTAAGGAGGAAAGAGTCAAGGGCCTGAGGATAAAGCGGGAGCCCAAGGAGGTGGGCTCTTGTGAGACTTGCTTGACCAGCAAGTTCTCACGATTTCCCTTCCATTCGTTGGTGGGGCAGTCAAGTGACCCGGTGGAGCTCGTGCATGTGGATCTTGTGGGGCCCATGAAGGTGAAGGGAGATGGTGGAGCCCTGCATTCCATGACTATGGTGGATGATTACACAAGGCTCACCTGGTCTTTTCCACTTGCAAAGAAGTGTGATGCTGCAAGGGTCATCATTGAAGAGTGGCTGCCCATGGTGGAGCGAGAGAGCGGCAAGCGGGTGAAGGCGATTCGTAGCGACCGTGGTGGGGAGTTTTTGGGAGCGGAGTTCCGGAGCTGGTTGAAGCGGCATGGCATCAAGCAGCAGCTCACCACGGCCTACACCCCTCAGTCCAACGGCGTGGCAGAGAGAGCAAACCGGACCATCATAGAGGGCGGGAGAACGATTTTGGTGGACTCGGGTCTACCCTTGCGGTTCTGGCCCCTCGCTATTCGTCATGCTACCGTCATCAAGAACCGGGTGTTGACTCATGTGGGAGGTCAGCATTGGGTCCCTATGGAGAAGTGGAGTGGCAAGAAGCCCCTGGTTGATATGCTTCGTGTCTTCGGGTGCATGGGGCTCGTGCATGTCCCTAAGGAGAAGCGTGACAAGCTTCAAGCGGCGGCGGTGTGGGCTGTTCATTTGGGTCTTGCACGGGGGAGCAAGGGCTGGCTCATGTGGGACCCAAAATCCAACACCATCTTCATCACCAGAGATGCCAAGTTCATGGAGGGGCTCATGTTCAAGGAGTGGTCGGAGCGGGGGAGGAGCAAGGTCACCATTCCGCTTGGAATAGAGGTGGGAACCAACGACCCACTTCTCATTCCCATCGAGTTGTCCTCATCTTCAGAGTTGACAGAGGTGTCACATGACTTGGGAGGTGCTGAAGGGGAGGCAGCAGATGTGGAAGAAGTACTACAGCAAGGGGAGGCCCCTATAGCTGAGAGAGGTGATACCGAGAAGGAGGTGCAGCAGCCTACACCATCCCCTAAGCTTCCACCAAGGCGCACAACCCAAGGGAAGCGTGATGCTGTCCGTGGTGGAGCCAAGGAAGGTGCAACCAAGGAGAGGCCCAAGAGAGCTGCCCACCCAAGGGATTTCCTCAAGTATGAAAGGCTTGGGGTTCCCAAGGCATTGCTAGTCCAAGAGGAGGAATATGAGGAGGAGAAGGGAGCCGAGGGGGAGATGGAGCAGATTTGTTGCTTTGGCGTCAACTTACTTCATGAGCTGGCGTCAATGGAGGAAGCTCTCGCTGGAGATGATCGAGAGGCGTGGCTGGCTTCAAGGGAGGATGAGTTCCAGAGCCACATGGAGAATGAAACATGGACCCTTACCAATCTTCCCCCAGGAAGGAAGGCATTGGACTGCACGTGGGTGTTACGTGTAAAGACCGATGCGGAGGGGAGGTTGGAGAGGCGAAAGACAAGGCTTGTGATCAAAGGCTTTCAGCAGAGGGAGGGGATTGACTTTCAAGAGGTGTTTGCTCCTGTTGCCAAGGCTCCTACGCTCCGGTTGTTGCTAGCAGCCGCTGCCGTTTGTGGCTGGAAGGTGGAGCAAATGGATGTGAAGACGGCGTTCCTCTATGGCGTGGTAGATGAGGAGATCTACATGAAGCAGCCAGAGGGGTATGACGATGGGAGCGGACATGTTTGCAGGCTCAACAAGGCCATCTATGGCCTCAAACAAGCTCCAAGGTGCTGGTATGCAAGGCTGGTGGAGGTGTTGGAGGCTCTTGGCTTCAAAGTTAGCGGCTGCGACGAGAGTCTCTTCATGACCGAGGGGGAGGAGGAGAAGGTATTTCTCCTTGTCTATGTCGATGACATCCTCCTCTTCTCTCCATCCCTAGAGAGGATCAAGGAGGTGCAAGGGAAGCTGAAGGAGACCTTTCAATGCAAGGCCCTTGGACCAGTGGGGTATTACCTTGGTCTTCACGTGGAGCGGGACGAGGTGAAGGGATGGTTGAGGCTTCACCAACACAAGTACCTTGCAGCCATGGGGGAGAAGTATGGGCTGGAGGAAGGGAGGAGTGTGAGGACTCCTTTACCCTCAGGGTTTCAGCTGCACCTCAATGAAGAGGAGGGTGAGGTGTTGGAGTACGAGTTGCAGCGTCGGTTCCAGTCAATGGTGGGGAGCTTGATGTACGCTTCGGTCAACACTCACCCCGACATTGCGTTTTCAGTTTCACAGCTCGCTCGTGTGGTGTCTAGGCCCCTTCAAGAGCACCTGGATGCAGCAGAGAGGCTGGTGAGGTACTGCATGGCAACCTCAAGGGTGGGGCTGCAATATTCAGTGCATGGGCAGCTGAAGCAAAAGGGAGTGGAGGAGGTGAGCACAAAGACTGGTGCACCTGCAAGGCGTGGGCATTTGTACCTCTCGTGTTTCACCGATGCTACCTGGGCAAGTGACATCAGTGATGCTACATCCCATGGTGGCTATATATGCTGTGTTGGAGGGAGTCCAGTGAGCTGGAAGTCTAAGAAGCAAGGAGAGATAGCTCACTCATCAACGGAGAGCGAGTACATGGCGTTGTTTCATGGAGTGAAGGAGGTGGTTTGGATGAGGAGGTTGCTTGAGGAGTTGGGGCAGGAGCAAGAGGGTCCTACACCTGTGTTTTGTGACAGCCAAGGAGCAATTGCAATGGCGCGTAATGCTGTGCTCCATGGGCTGAACAAGCACATGCATATCAAGTGGCATTGGGTGAGGAAGGAGGTGAAGAAGGGCACCATCTCCTTGCACTACATCAACACTACCAAGCAACCTGCAGATTTCTTGACTAAGCGGCTTGCAGAGCATCAGCATTGGAGCTGTGCCACCTTGTGTGGCATGTCCTTCAACTAAGGGAGGCAGCTTCAGGGAGCAGCTAAGGGATGAATGAGAGCACGATGAGGGGGAGTTTGTTGTGCCAAAGTACTATAGTGGCACGGTCATCGCACTCCCATTCAGCCTACAAGCCTGCTCAGCTTCTGGAATTTTGTGGGGTGGTGCTTCAACATGTGTTCTTCAAACCCTCAAAGTTTCAGAATGTTTGAAGCAGTTTACAAGGCATGCCAACATTTTTAGTTTCAAGACTTATGGCATCCCGGAAGTGTGTGTTACTCTTTTTTGGTAACACCCGAGTTCACCATTTCGGCTGCTGACTCATCTACCGAGCCCTGATTGGTCTGAAAATCGGTGTGGCAGTCGTTTGCCGTGTTGTACAGGTGGTCACCGAGTTTCAGGACAACCCAGCATCGGAGAAGCACGTGACAGCTGTCGAAAGTTACTGTTCCGTAGTCATGGTGCACTGTTGGCAGCATTTCCCTTGCCACCCTTGCATTGTTGTCATGCCAATGGTGCAGGGACAGAGAATGAGACAAGAAGTACAGGTGGTCAAGTGGGACTCTACCACCCTCCTTTTGAGAAGTGTGGTCTTCCTGGAAGCAGCTTGCAAGAGGGTGCAAGTGGGAAGACAAGCTGACTCATGGTTGGCTTGACTCACTATTGGTAGCCTTGAGTACAGCTCTGAACATCCAAGTGTGGTTGGCTTTGCTGACCTAGCTAGGACGTTTCCCATCCTTCTCTAGCCTTTCTCCCCTAGGACTCAACCTTCTCTGAGTTCCCAGGATGGTCCCAACCCCTTAAGAGTCCCCTAGGCAATGTTGCACTCAACCTCTTCCTTGCATCAATGAAGCTACTCGTTTTTCAGCCGAGCTTACGTTTTTGTTGACTACGTAGCGCATACACCTCTGATGAAATCAAGCCATATACCGTTGGAAAGCAGACACCTGAAGCTAACGTCTGTCCAAGTTTCAGCCTCGTTTATTATCGGAGCTGATCGTGACGGCGTTTTGAACAGAGACGGTTCGAAGTCACCAGATTCTGCTTAGGCGGTTTCAAGGGCATCTACGACCCCTAAGTGGACTCTAGACTATAACAGCTCGTTCGTCCCATTACATGGCTCGTTCGTCCCCTTACATGGCTCGTTCGTCCCCTTACATGGCTCGTTCGTCCCCTTACATGGCTCGTTCGTCCCCTTACATGGCTCGTTCGTCCCCTTACATGGCTCGTTCGTCCCCTTACATGGCTCGTTCGTCCCCTTACATGGCTCGTTCGTCCCCTTGCATGGCTCGTTCGTCCCCTTGCATGGCTCGTTCGTCCCCTTGCATGGCTCGTTCGTCCCCTTGCATGGCTCGTTCGTCCCCTTGCATGGCGGCTCGTTCGTCCCCTTACATGGCTCGTTCGTCCCCTTACATGGCTCGTTCGTCCCCTTACATGGCTCGTTCGTCCCCTTACATGGCTCGTTCGTCCCCTTACATGGCTCGTTCGTCCCCTTACATTCCTCGTTCGTCCCCTTACATGGCTCGTTCGTCCCCTTACATGCCTCGTTCGTCCCCTTACATGGCTCGTTCGTCCCCTTACATGGCTCGTTCGTCCCCTTACATGGCTCGTTCGTCCCCTTACATGGCTCGTTCGTCCCCTTACATGGCTCGTTCATCCCCTTACATGGCTCGTTCGTCCCCTTACATGCCTCGTTCGTCCCCTTACATGCCTCGTTCGTCCCCTAACATGGCTCGTTCGTCCCCTTACATGGCTCGTTCGTCCCCTTACATGGCTCGTTCGCTTGGTTGGTCGGGCAACGATACCCGGGCCGCTCACTCATTGCCCGGCACTTGTGGCTTGGTTTGTGGAGGTGGCTCAGCACGACTCGGGATGAGCTGGACCAATGAACCGAGCTACCGGCTAGGCCACGACCAGTTCTTGCCTATCTTCCTCACTCTTGATGTATGCATGCATGCATGCCTGCCATCCGTTGTTGCCCTATCAGAGTGCTGATGTCCAACATGCTAAATGGCTCCATTCCTGAGTCCATCGGCAGCCTTTCGAATCTCCATAACTTGTAAGTTCCATGCTTTCTCAAGCTTTGCCTCGTTGCGAATGTCTTCATGTCTTAAAGTTGCAGTTGCTACACGAACAGGTGAGCGCTGTCCACTTACTGTTCATTGGTGTCGGGAATCTCACCCCTTGTTGCACTCGTCATAGAATCCACGTTCCAACCACAGGCCAGTTGCCAATAAACTAACTCCTCAGATCATGTGTGCTGCTGGTCCTGTCCTGTTTTCCTAAGTGTTTCCACTCATTCACATGTGCGCACACTTTTTGACATTTGAATGAAGAAGACGTCATTGCCCAAGTAAGGTCCGTCTGGCTCTTGCGCCTGCTTGAAATGCATCGCAAGCCGGTTCAGGACTAACCGAACTAGGGACAAGGCCATGACAGGCTGGCCTCGTACGAGGGCCAGTGCATGAGCAAGCGAGTCGAAGCGCAGGGTTTAGGGTTTAGGGTCAAGCTCTGGTCAATGGGCAGCCCACTGAGACTGACCTCACTGCTGTTTAATCTCGAGTCGTGAAATGCTTGAGTCTAGGATGGTCAGACGAACCTCCGCCTCTCCCATGCCAGCTTCCTCCAACACGCATGCCTAATTCGAAATTCCAACACACGTGCCTCATTCAAAATGTCCCCCATTGCTCTTTCATCAGAGACTTGACGTACAACAGCTTGAGTGGCCCAATCCCTGAGTCCTTTGGCAAGCTTGCAAATCTGCGTCGAGTGTGAGTGCAGTGCTTCATTTCATGGCTTGGCACGTGACCCACAGCAGCGCGACCAGACCCACCAGGCTCGTTTCTGCATGAATGAGCAGCCCAGGTACCTCGGATTGGAAGGAAAACGTAATAATCTATTGTTGCTACGCCTGAAATGGAAAGAAAGAAGAAGTCGCGACATGGGTACTACAGTGCCATCCGAGGTTAAAAAATACGGTTTTCGTAAAATACGGTCCGTTTTTTACGGTCGTTTTTTACGGTGATTATCCAAAAATGCGGCCGTCTTCTTGTTAGAGAACTCTGGTCAAGAAGGAAAAAAGGGGAAAAACAAGGTCAAAGACATTTTCAATCATGCAAACAAGCGCACACATGGAAGAAGGGGCCCGTCCCCTTCATCCTGGTGACTTTCGGGTTCAATTTGGTCCCATAAAGTGGCCAATTTGTTAACTAAACTGAAAACACCTCCTGGAACCGTTTTAAACCGTTTTTAACGGTCGTATTTTACGGCACCGTTTTTTACGGTAAATTTTCAAAAAAACGGTCGTTTTTTATAACCCTGGTGCCATCAGCTCTGCTGCGATTTTCAAATGGCAAACACCATGTAAGCCAGACCTTATCCTACAATATCAGGGCCAACCAGATTCCCCTACAACAAACACAGCAGTTTTTTCATTCCTTTTTTCACTTAACGTGCATCATAAATTAAGTGGTCTGGTGTACACCAGTAAAGCCTTTAATTCCCACCCTTTTTCCTTTGTCACTTGTACTCTATGCAGGTCATTTTGGAGTAATCAGCTGACTGACCCGTTACCAGCAACGTTAGGCAACCTTCTGGATTTGACATACTTGTAAGGCTCTCAAATACACTCACTCACATGCCATCCATCAACTTATCACTGCTTTTGATCACATCATCCATACTTCTCATTTCGAAGCGGTCACTCCCTGTATTCACGAATTCATCAACCATCATTAGTTCAGTTCACTGCAGATGGATTTGTCGTATTTGTGTTCACCCTAACGCAGCTGGTACGGCAGGAACCAAAGTACGGCAGTATTTGTGGCTGTCGGTTCAACTTGAATCTGTTTGACCTGTTCGACTCAGAACATACCAAAATGTGCAACACGATTGAACTCTTTTAAAAGCCTTGATTGTATCTCTTTTCCAGGGTGTTTTTTTTTTTTTTTTTTTTTTTTTTTCTTTTTTTTGCTGGAATAACGACTTTACCAGTAATGAAAGCTGTGGTCGCACCAAATCTAATCCGGTTCGCACCAAACTGGACTCTGGTTTGGTTGGACCCTTGTATTCTGATTCGAACCTTGAAACGGACAATTCACTCACCGCTTGGACTCGAACCAGGCATGAGCAGGTTTTGGGCGCATCAGATCGTTCCTCTGGTGGGCTTGACCAAACCAGGACGACCTGACCTGACCTGGCCCAACCTGATCGTTCCTCTGGTGGTCAGAATTTGCTAGGGGAATGACCCGACTTGACCCGGGTATATGCCGACCTGACTCACTTATAGTTTAATCAGCTCAGTCAAATCCTTAGGTCCCGACCCAACCCGACCTAAGCAAGACCGGGTCAGGTCAGGTCGGTCGACTTGTTGCTTAAGTCGAACTCGGACCAGTTCGAGTTTCAGTGGCAAAAGGCACTTTGGTTCGACTCAACATCTTGCTCATGCCTACAACGATGTAGCGCCTTTTGCCTCCAGCACTTGCTATCCACACCTCCACAATTTGCCCACTCCTCTCCCTTTTTTTTCTGTTTTTGCGATACCTCTGACTGACTGACATCCTGCCTGGCTGTCTTCATGTGTTCACAAAAACCTTTTCTTATCAGCGGAGTCTTAACAAACCACCTGTCTTCAGTCTTAACAAACACCTGTCTGCAGCCTGCTAAATAGTAAATCCGTATCATTACAGCCTTTTTGCTGCACTGCACCTGGCACCCGCTGATGCAGTGACCAAGGCCGATAAGTTCAGAACCACCAAGTCTTTCTGTACTGAGGTGGATAGGGCTCTGTGCAAGCCAATGTGTGTGGTAAATGGCTCTTATATCTCATTCTGCCCTCACATCCCATTCTCCTCTCACATCCCATTCTCCTCTCACATCCCATTCTCCTCTCACATCCCATTCTCCTCTCACATCCCATTCTCCTCTCACATCCCATTCTTCTTTCACATCCCATTCTCCTCTCACATCCTATTCTCCTCTCACATCCCATTCTCCTCTCACATCATATTCTCCTCTCACCAGGGACTTCAGTTATAACAGAATCAGCGGCACAATTCCTGCCTCCCTTGGGAACCCCACCCGCCTGAATCGCTTGTGAGCGCTGCTGGTCATGGAGTCAACACGCATGCACGCCACAGCCGAACTCTGAATCGTAGACAATCCCAGATCGCTTTCTGGATAGGAACTTGAGCATTCGAAGCGATGCAGGTCACTCACGCCATGTCATATGTGTTCACATGCCCGCCTTCGGCCGTTCCTCTCACTGTTTTACACTCCCATTGTGTGAAATGCAGCTGGATTCTCAATAACAACCTGAGCGGTTCAATACCTGCAACCTTGAGCAGACTTCAAGTTATTGATGCCATGTGAGCTTCTTAAGCAAAAGTTTTTTTGTGTGGAATTTCTCATTTCTCACAGTCGAACCCACCTAACATCTCCCTTGTTCAACTGTGTAGCGCCCACAATGGTTAATCCAACCTGTTTACACCATAAGCCGTTCAATGGGTTGGTTCAGTCCAATAGATACTACGAATCACCATGATGGGCACGAATAGTCGAAGTCCATGCCGACTTTTTTTGTAACCGTTTTTTTTTTTCTACAATATAGAACAATGGCAAATGTGAAAAGCATGCTAATATCTCGCTTTCTTGCACCTGCCCTTTTGGTTTTCTTGCTTCACACAGGCTCCAAGGCAGAGCGATTGATCAGAGGAACCTGAGATTCGAGGTTTTATCAGACCAGCTGCTCTATAACCTCACGTCACTTACCTGTGTGCGAGACCGTTTCCCTCCATTCATCTCTTCTCAGTAACCTAGGCTACAATGGCTTGACGAGGACTATTCCTGACTTCATCACCACGCTTACAACTATTGCTGGCTTGTAAGTGTTTTTTAGTTTGACTTTATCACCACGCTTACAACTATGGCCAAACCAAGCTGCCTCTCTGGCTAAGCTCGTTCTGAGCCACGCTGGCTGGGCTCGTCCTAGCTCGACCCCATCAACTCTGCTCGACAGCGTGCAGCATGCGTGCCTCAGAAGCTGTGCGTGTCTGTCCTCAGTGCTTCAACTGAAAACCAGTCCATCCTTGCACCCCTGCTCTGCATGCTGCTTGTCACTTTAACCAGGATTGGTTGAAGTTTCACTCTCCTCAGTATTCCATCCTTTCATCTGCTCACCCTTTCATCTTGTGGTTCATAGGTTTCTCCATGGGAACATGCTGAGTGGTCCAATAATACCAGGGCTAAGCAACCTTGTGTTGAATAGAGACTTGTGAGTGATCTGGCTGGTCAACTCTTTGAAATCCAGCTGAGGGCTCTAATATGAACGCAAATGTCGCTTGCTATGGCTCCCCGTGGGAGCAGGTGGGTCTAGGCAAACAGAAAGTGATACATCAATGGACTTGGGAAGTATTCGACCGATCGAGTGCATTCAGCATAAAATTTGCACTATTTTTTTCAAAGACCCTAAGTCTATGAGATATGTTGCGTAGAGGAATGGCATACAGATCTTGCACCCATTGGAATGGCAACGCTTACACAGCCATTTCCAGAGCAAAGCCTCCTTTCAAACATGTTTCTCTGTCCCATTGCCATCTCACTGACATGACATATGCACCATGACATCCTTCCAGCACATGCACTACTGTCACCACATGCACTACTGTCACCACATGCACTACTGTCACCACATGCATTACTGTTACCACATGCACTACTGTCACCACATGCACTGCTGTCTCCACATGCACTGCTGTCACCACATGCACTGCTGTCACCACATGAACTGCTGTCACCACATGCAGTGCTGTCACCACATGCACTGCTGTCACCACATGCGCTACTGTCACCACATGTGCCACTGTCACAACATGCACTACTATCACCACATGCGCTACTGTCACCACATGCGCTACTGTGACCACGTGCACTACTGTCACCACATGCGCTACTGTCACCACATGCACTGCTGTCACCACATGCACTCCATGCACTACTCTTAACGCATGCACCACCACATGCACCATGCACTGCTCTGACCGCATGCATGTATTCTCTCCATCCATGGCTGTTTCCTCAGATACCTTCAGGGCAACAACTTAAAGGGCTCAATTCCTGACTCCCTCACCAAGCTCTAAAACCTTCGTGTATTGTGAGTGTTTTTCTCCCTTGTGAATGCCACTCCTTCTTGGGTTGGGATGTGAGCTACAGTGCACTGCAGACTCTGCAGCAGCATGCTCTTGCACTCCGTGCGTTATGAAATCAGGCATTGTATTCCGTGTGTTTGAGGATTATTATTGTTAAGACCCCATAATGGATGAACGGAGAAACTCATAATGGTCGGTGATTGAGGAGAGTTGATAGTGGCACTCCTTATCCGTTGGCCCAGCATCAAAACACTTGCGAGGCACCTCAAATCTTATTGGACCACTGTGCATTGCGTGGTGTTATTACATTAGGTAGGTACCAGACAGTAGGCTTGAGCAGAGTGCCGAGCTGTGGCTCAACCCTTGGGGGCTGGCTCGCTGTACAACTGACAAAAGCTTCTCTTCGAGAGCAGCAACCTGTGCTCTGACCTTTTAAATCTGTTCTTTTGCACTCCTTCCGTGATATGACATGCAGATATCTTCAACGGAACAAGTTGTCTGGCACCATACCAGCAACAATCACCAAATTTCCGTTGTTGCTCATCTTGTGAGCCTCTTGATTGATTCAACAGCTGATAGATTGTGCTCTGTATTAAGACTTACACTTCACACACACACACTATGTTCTTACGTAACTCCACTACCCGTAGCAATCTTTTTATGTTTGATTCCTCCCACAAGGACGCCACCTGTTTGATTTGAACCTACTTGCTTGTCGAACCATGCTGTGCACTATCATTCCCATGCTTCTTCAGGAGTCTATCAAGCAATTTCCTGACCGGCTCCATTCCATCCACTATTGGGAGTATGAGCACCCTGACACTCTCGTGAGTGCAATTAGAAGTAACCTGGGAGGACATGGAACGATCCGCCCTAAAACTGCTTCGAGGGAGTAGGGGATTACATACATGGTACTTCCCAGTCGGTTGGCACTACTGAGTAGTTGTCGTTTAGTACATGCTTCTGGGTTGGGGAATGATGGCCATGGTTTGGCGCTTTTGGAAAAACCGATGTTTGAGTTAAGTTGACCTCAACATTTTCCAGCTCAAAGTTTTTTTTCCCACTCCTCTTGGTCGAAACTCGGTGCTCTTTAATCTCGAGTAAAAAGAACAAATCGACCTGAGGATGTACGGCGAGTCTGCTTGTGTATACTGGCGGCCACAAAATCCAGATGCGCTGACTGAGAGCTTTTTTCTTGATTTGAGGACGAGTATAAATGCACTCAACCTGACATGCCTTTTTTTTTTTGTGGTTGTTTCTCAATTCAGGACGAGTAAGAAATGAGTTTTGTTTTTGGTCACTCGACTTCATGGTCAAATAACGAGTTGGTGCAGAGTGAAAGAACTCGGCCCAAGTAAATCCTGTCAAGTCGACTCAAAACTTTATAGAGTCAAGCAAAAAGAAGTTGATTTCTGTCCACTCATAAATGCTCATGCATAACATAAGTTCAGCAAACTTTACGTGTGCAATCTCTTGAACATCGTCCCTTCCTTGCAAACTTTTCTTTTGTCAGATCCCTCGGCAACAACAGCCTGACTGGACCAATTCATGACTCCTCAACCGGGTTTGTCAACCTGGTTGATTTGTGAGTACCAACCGCTGTTGGGTTATCTCATGTTGTTCCACCTAAGGCACCGATGAACTTTATCTCATGTTAAAGCACCCATTCCTTTGATGTGAGCTATACGCGTTGCCTATGCTTGTTACCGTAAAAAATGGGCGTAAAAGGAAAGAGTATGAAATCAACTAAATGTATTCCCAAGCTGTTTGTGTGCACTTGGCACATCGCCCCCCATGGAAATCTGGATGCTGCCTGTATCTACTTTGTTTCTTCTATTGTTTCACACACAAGCCGGGCTTTGGCATTGTTTGCCCTGTTTCCAATTGCAAGCGCTTATCTATGAACAAGCTATCGAGGTCGATACCAGCGCCAATTAGCAGCCTTATAGCGTTGACTAGACTGTGAGATATATATATATTTTTTCCAAGTACTATGAGTATCAATGTATGTATAATACTTCACACAATCATCAGTTCACGCTTCTCTCGTCATCAATCATTCCACGCTTCTCTCGTCATCAATCCCTCCATGCTTCTCTCGTCATCAATCCCTCCATTCTTCTCTCGTCAGTTTGCTCGCCAACAACAGCCTGAGTGGCACAATCCCTGACTCCGTTAGCAAGATGACAAATCTTGCTGCCTTGTGAGCTCGTGTTTAACTTTAGTTACTTCAGTTCATCCCGGAAGGGAAGTATGCTATGCACGCACACCTCTTGCATGCATGCACATCTCTTCAAGTTTGTTGATTCACATTTAGCAGAGTTGCCATCTGTGCTAACGTTCAAACAATTCGGTTGTGCATTTATTGTTTGCACCTCTGCACACTGTCTCTTACCATGTCTGAAGTCATGTCATGTTTGTTGTAAATGTATATTATATACAACATACATAGGCTACAATAGGTGTAGTTCTTTATGTTTTTGGGGGGTTGGGTGTACACTCCAACCACACTTTGTGGTTGGTCAAGATTGGAGTTGGTCATGGTCCTTGGTTGGCACTTGCCAACTTGTGGTCCTTAGGCCAACCAATCCCAACCTAGCTACATTGTGAGGTTTCCTTAGAGATGAGCAGAGGGCAAACTCGAACATGTTCGAGTTTGCCCCCTATCAAATATCGCCTTATACCGAACCGAACAGGGTTCGGTTCGGCGAATGATTTGGGCGAAAACAGGTGTTCGCCATTCGCCCTAGGGGGCGAACGAATTGCTGCAGCAGGCGAACTCGAACATGTTCGAGGCGAACATGTTCGAGTTCGCCAAGGGGGAAATTCGATATAGTCACAGAGGTCAGAATGCGGATTTGAAGGGTCAGGATGATAGAAAGGGGTTTGCAGGGCGTATATGTGTTCAATGCAACACACCCAGAACTACAACACCATCATGTTTTGTGAATCGAAATGTTAATGTCAAATAAATTCCTACGCCTGAGCGCCATTGCTACTACCAACAACAGCATCCTCCCCACCAGCTATGTCGTCAGCCTCCACACCCTCCTCCTCCTCCACCTCCTCCTCATCCTCCTCCTCCTCCTCCTCCTCCTCCTCGTCCTCCTCTGCCCCATCGGTGGTGGTGCGACGCCTCTCGGTCGGCGGCCCTCGCCTATCCTCTGGCCAGGGTGTGAACTGTACCATGATATGAGAATCATGACAGCTCGCGTCCTCTGAGAGGCCAGGCGGCGGCGCTTCCAGGTTATGAGGTTGCGGCCAAGGGAGAACACGCGCTCGCTCGAACCGGACGTGGCAGGGATGGCGAGATAATCCCGGGCCATGCGCCTCAGCGTCTGCATGTTGGTGGCAGTGCGCCCGTACTCCAACGCTGTCACGTCGCACCGCACCCTCTCAGACAAGTACCTGCTAACCTCGTCATCCTGCACCATCCCATCCCTCCCCGCCTCCTGGCTCGCTGACAGACGTGCCGCAGGTCGTCGGCGACTAGGGAGAAACTGCGCGTCATCGTCGTCATCCGCCGCGTCTCCCTCCTCCTCCTCCTCCTCCTCCATCACGGGGGCAAGTGGGGTCGGCCGGGGAGCAAGCTCTGCAGCCCGGGCCTGGTACTCCGCCACGCGGTCGCGTACCAGCTGGACCACCTCGCCAGACGTGGGATGCGGCCTCACCCTCCGGTCGGTCTCGGGATGCAACTTCTCCCAGTGCGTGTCGTCGAACCACGCCGCCTTCATGGAAGGGTCCAGGAAGGTGGCGATCCACAACTCGTTGCTGGACATGTAGGCATACTTCTTCGAGAGACCCAGCGCCGCCTCGATCATCAGCTTTAGCGTAGCCGATGGCCCCTTGGCAAGGCGCGACTCCATAGCGCCGATCAGGCCATTGTGGTACGGCACCACCATCGCCTCTGTAGGGTACGCCGCCCCCTCCGCTGCCTTTGAGACTTTGGCGAATGGGCTGAGGAACGTCTTGACAGCCTGCAGAGTCTCCCAGTCTGCGTCCGTCAAGCGCATGCTCTCCACCTTCTTCTTGTCAGCCTTCGACAAGCCCTGTCGGGTAGAGGGTATAGTTTGGCGGGTGATAAGAGGGAAAGTGGGGTTATTGAGGTTGTTGGGGTCCGGTAACATACGAGCATGAATAACAGTGTTATGTAGAAGTGCTAAAACACAACACCCCGACATAACCACATGCTGAACCCCACATGCAACCCGTGTCACACACATCTGTGTCTGGGCAAAGAAGACAGTGATGGGTTCCTGCAGAACCCCAGCTCGCTCGACCATGTCGTGGGTCGACCCCCAGTGCGTAGGACTGTCCTGCACCAGCTTCAACGCCGGCTTCAGTTTGGCGGGGTTGGCCTGCGTGTTCAAGGTCCGTTGTAGGCCCAAGGACTTCCCTGAGCGCTGCGGCGAGAAGCCAATCCACGACACCACCTCTCTCAGAATCTTCAACAACTTGCGTATGGCGGCCATAGCTAGAGCTGCCTTCACTGCAAGGTTGATCACGTGTGCCAAGCACCTGCGCGCGAAACACAACATTAATGGCAGAGAGAAGGGGTAGTGTGAGTACACATGGTCAGAGCGAGCCACTAACCCATACCAGACCCCACACACCCTACAGCTCGAGCCGCACAGGCCCACCCCCCCATACAATCACAAGTTGTCCATGCGGGAACGACACACCCACACTCCCACACAACCAGCCCACGCACACTCCCACACTTACCGGAAGTGCATGCGAGAGTTGAAGAAGCACTGACCACCACCCTCCTCCGACATCCGCCTGAAGGCGGCAATGTTGCTAGAGGCGTTGTCTGTCATGAAACCAAGACAACGCCCCTCCAATCCCCACTGCACCACCGTCTCCTCAACCACCCTCGCCATCTCCTTGCCCCCATGCCGCCCGTGCATCTCGCGGAACTCAAGCACCATTGTGCGCAGCTGGAAGTTCTCGTCTATCTTGTGACCTGTCACCACTAGCCATGCCTTGTTGTTGGGTGCCGTCCACATGTCGATGGTGAGCGACACCTTGCACCCCAACCCCCCCTCCTTCGCCAGCATCTCCGCAATGGCGGACTGGAGAGCGGCTGCCGCATAGACCACGGTGTCGCGAGATACCGTCCAGCGCGAGGGGATGAAGTTCTTCTGCGCACAGTTGCGGTTTAGCAGGATTAATAGCTCCCAAAACTGGAGGGGGGTATAGAGACAACGAGGGAGAGGGTTGTCAACGTCAAGGGGATGGGTTTGACACCAGTTGGCACACGCTTACAATCGAAACACCAAATGGTCCACCACTTCCACATACTGCCCAATCCCCTTCATACATCATGCATGGGGTGGGGCACTCACAGCCTCGGCCTCGACGATGCGGAAGGGGAGGTCACAGGTGACCACCAGCTTGGCGATCGCCTGCCGTAGCTCCACCGTGGTCAGCTTGGTTGTCAAGAACCGCTCGATCCCACTTGACCCCCGATCTCCACCAGACGCCTTCCCTTTCTTCTTGGCGAGATGCGGCCAAGACTTGGCATGCGGCCACCCATCGACGTAGCCATCCGGCACACCCTTGTAGTCCCCATGAGGAAACGTCTCCCCCGGCAGTTGAACGGCGGGTTGTGGTAACTTTGATGCCACACATGCATGTGTGCTGTGTGGTAGCTCTCGAAGTGCCGCTCGCCGGGTGTTGTTGTGGATTGCTTCCACAAAATCCTGTCAGTGCAAATCTTGCACTAACGCTTCTCGTCTGACCCTTTCGGTCCGAACATCTGTACTTGCCACCCGGGCTTCCTATTACCCTTGCCAGTCCCCTTACTACTCTCGGACCCTCCGTCCTTGTCTAGGAACTCCGGAGCGATCACACCCTCGCCTAAGGGCTCCCCAGTGAACGTGCAGAGATACGCCCGCTCCCTCAACTTGTTCGCCCTCTTCCTCCGCTTCGGCGCCGCAATGGACGCGGGTTTTCTCCCCACCTTAACCCCCACGCCCCCTCCGCCTTCTCCCACATGCTGTGAGGCCCCTCTGTCGCCGCCCCTCCACCACCCTCTCCCAACTCCTCCTCCACCTCCTCAGGCTCCAAGCCATCCATCTCATGGTCTTTATCATCATCCCCCCCTTCCCCACCGCCATGCGTCCCTGGCTCCCACCCGGCCTCACTGTCATCCCCGCTCCCCTCATTGTCCTCATCCTCCTTGCCCTCACCCTCCTCCTCCTCGTCCTCCTCCTCACTGCCACTCTCCGGCAGCGTCTGCCCCGAAGGAGGGGGTCGAGGGCCGTTGTAACGGAAAGAGTGATGGGATGTCAGCGCCGCTACGGAAAGAAACCCCTTGACGAAACAAGCGCCGGCTCTTGCAGGTCCATCCCCTACTCGCCCCTACATAGGTCGTGGGGGAGAACCAGGTGTACCGCCCTGAGCGCTGCCTGCACCTCGTTCTGCAGATCCATGTTGGCCGGAAGCCATAACTCCGCCCTCGGACCTAAAACCCTAAAACCCCCCCGAAGTAACGGTCGCGTGCTGCGTGTAGCACGGTCCTAAACGTGTTCCAGGTTACGTGTGGGGTTGTGAAATGCCGTCCCTACAACTAGAGCTTTGACCCTTTGGCACCTCAGATCTAGCCTTCCGCGGCTCAGATCTACTCCTCCGCGGCCTCAATCCTCCCTCCTGCGGCCTCAATCCTCCCTCCCGCGGCCTCAATCCTCCCTCCCGTGACCTCAGTCCTCCCTCCCGCGGCCTCCAACCGCTCTCCTGTGGCAGCAATCCTCCCTCCCGCCGCCACGCCTCAATCTGCCCGCCGACTCGGACGACCTGCGCGCCGACGCGGACGGCCAGCGCGGCGACGCAGACGACTTCCGCGCCGACGCGGACGACCTGCGCGCCGACGCGGACGACCAGCGTGCAGCCACGAGCAACCCGCGCGCCGACGCGGACGGCCAGCGCGCGGCCACGAACGACCCGCGCGCCAACGCAGACTGCCAGCGCGTGGCCGTCGACGACCTGCGCGCCAACGCAGACGGCCAGCGCACGGCCCCCGACAACCTGCGCGCCGACGCAGACGGCCAGCGCGCGGCCGCCGACGACCCGCGCGCCGACGCGGAGGGCCGACGCGGGCCGCGGCTGACCTGCGCGTCGTCGCGGACGGCTGCCTGCGCCCTGCCCCACACTTCCGCGCCAGCCTCCCTCCCCCTTACCTCCTCCCCCTACTCCACCCTTAACGACACCAGCAGCGGCACCTTCAAAGGCACCAGCAGTGGCACCTTCAACGGCACCAGCAGCGGCACCTTCAACGGCACCAGCAGCGGCACCTTCAACGGCACCAGCAGGGGCACCTTCAACGGCACCAGCAGCGGCACTGTCAACGGCACCAGCAGCGGCACCTTCAACGGCACCAGCAGCGGCACTGTCAATAGCACCAGCAGCGGCACCTCCAACAACACCAGCAGCGGCACCGTCAACGGCACCAGCAGCGGCACCTTCAACGGCACCAGCAGCGGCACCTTCAACGGCACCAGCAGTGGCACCGTCAACGGCACCAGTAGCGGCACCTTCATTGCTTCGCCATCATGGCGCCGGCGGACTCATCGGTCGACTTGGCGACCATTGACACTATCGAGTTGTTGGGTGACAACTTGGCCGCCAACTGGCACTCTTATGCCCACTCCGTCGAGGTGTTGCTCTCCTCGGTTGTCGTCAGTGGATATACCCTTCGTTCCGTCGTGTTCCAGGAGGAGGGTGGACTCCAGCCCATCGCCCCTTCCGCCCCCACCGGACCTGCTCCCGACGAGCCCGGACCCGAGCCCGAGCCTCCTGGTGATCCTCCCTCCTTCGCGCCGGATGTCAACAACCCACAAAGCGTGGAGACTGCCATCCGTGCCTACCGCACCACACTCAACGACCACCTTCGCCGTCAACTGCGCTATGAGGACGACAAGCGCACCTACGACGATGCTGCTGCCCGCCACCGCGAATACCAAGCTTAGCTCGCCACTTACACTACACGCCTCGCCACCTACACCACCAACATCGTTGCGTGACGCATTGCTGATCGTCGAGCTGTCGCCATCCTCCTCGCCACTATCCCCTCCTCCCTCAAACGAGAGCTCTCACCCACTTCCTCCTCCCACTTGTGGCAACTCCTTGTCGACCTCTTTGACAGGCAGGACATCGCCACTCTCTGCACTCATCAAGGAATTCGGATCCATCACCATGGACTCCATCGCCGGCGCAGCCGCCTTTACTCACCGCGTCCTTGACCTTGCTCGCCGCCTTGCAGTGCTCGGTGTTATCTACCCTGACACCGTCATCTGCTGCCACCTCCTCGAGGGTCTCACCCCTGCCTTCGATGCCCACAAGCTCGCATACATGCAGCTCCTCTCGAAGCATGACACTCCCGCTCAGGTTGCCCAATGGATCATCACCACTGAAGCTGAAATCCTCCGCCACTCCTCCTCCACCGCCGCAGCTGCACAGCAGCGCACCGGCAAAGGCGGGCGTGGGGGAGGGCGTGGAGGCAGGCGTGGTGGTGGTCGAGGCGGCTCTGGCGGTCGTGGTGGTGCGGGTCGTGGTGCAGCAGCGGCCTTCCCACCCTGTCAGTACCTTCCCCTCTATGGCCCCACTCGAGGCCAACTCTGCAACCAAACCACTCATGCGACTGACACGTGCTTCAAGGCACTCAGCGATGAGTGGTTCGCTCGTGGGAACTCTGGCACCCCTCCTCGCTGGTCCGCCCTTAACCCCCGCCCCACTCCCCTCGATGTCCGCACCTCTCCCCTCTACGCCCCTTCCTCCTCCTCCCAGGCCCACCAGGCCTTTACTCTCCCCTCACAGCAGCAGCAGCAGCAGCAGCAGCACCAGAATGTCCAGCAGCAGGGGCCGCAGCAGTATGGGCAGCAGCTTCAGCAGCTCCAGCAGCAGCTTCAGCAACTCCAGCAGCAGCTCGACCTCCATCCCCAACTTCCTCTCTTCCCTCCTCCTATCCCCCAGCAGCAGCCGTTTCCCAGGTGGACCGCCAGGAATGCGGCCCACCTCTCCGGTCCATCCCCTCCGCCGTCTACAGGTGGCAGTGTGACCCCCTTTCCCTCCTCTGGCTTTGTTGGCTTGCTTAGTCAGCCTCCATCTGTTGCATCCCCCATGTATGCCCTTGCTATTAGTACTCTGCCCATGAAACTTCAATTCAGTACTCCGCCTCACCCTCCTCCACCCTTGAGTTCGTCCTGGACAGTGGAGCCACTGACACTGTCCTTCGCGATGCTGGCACACTCCATCCTCTCCCCACACCCACGTCCCTCCTCGGCGCTGATAGCAGCTTTTCCATCCCCTGTCACAACACATCCACCCTTCCCTGCCCTCTCTTTCCCTCAGGTACTGTCACATGTCTTCACATTCCCTCCCTTCGCACCAACCTCCTCTCCCAAAGGTCCCTCCAACAAGCCATGATCACCACTGTCATCCCAGGTGGTGCTAACCATTGTGACCTTTACCAAACCTCCACAGGTCGCTTCCTCTCCCGTATTCCCTTCTGTCCCCGCTCCCGTCTGTACACCCTTCGGGTTCCCCGCCCCCTCACCTTTCAAGTTGCCTCCCCGACCCTCCTTCCCCCCCCCCCCCCCCCTCCCCTCCCTTCCACCAACCCATCCGTCCCCCCCCGCCCCCCTGACTCTGACTGCTCATGTCGCTCCCTCTCCCACCCTACCATCCTCCTCCATCACAGGCTAGGTCACCCCAACCTCGCTACTCTGCGCTCCTCTGTCTCCTCCGTTCTCCTCCACGGTCTCCCCTCCTCCCTCCCTCCCTTACCCAAATCCCCTGCCCCCCCTTGCGCCGTCTGTGTTCAGAGCAAGCTCGAGCAGCAGCCGCACCGGAGCTCCCCCTCCGCTGCTGCCCAGCCACTTGATCCTGTTCACATGGACCTCTGGGGCCCTAATCCGTCCCCCACTCGCCAAGGCCATCGCTACCTTCTCGTGCTCGTCGATGATCATAGTCGGTACTCGTCCGTCTCTCTCCTTCGGACGAAGGCGGACGCCCCGACTACGATCATTGCCTGGCTCGAACAAGCAAACACCCACTTTGGGCGCCCTGTTCGTCGCCTTCACTCTGATGGTGGTGGTGAGTTCCTTAATAACCAAATCTCCTCCTATTGTCAGTCCCGTGGCATTCTTCAGACTTACACCCTCCCTCACTCCCTACAGCGGAACGGTGTCGCTGAGAGTCGTGTTCGAGAGATCACCAAAACTGCTCGGTGTCTTCTTGTCCATGCCTCATGCCCGCCTTCTCTGTGGGGCTACGCCCTCCTTCATGCCGCCCTCCTTACTAACCTTTACCCTCACCCCCTCCTCCCCTCCATCACCTCCACTGAGCTATGAACAAAAGCCAAACCCAATGTCTCCCCTCTTCGAGTCTGGGGCTCAAAAGCATATGTCCTTATTCACCCGTCTGACCGATCGCGTCCCATAAAAAAGCTTGCCTCTCGCACCCTTCCTTGCATCTTCCTTGGTCATAACCCCTCCTCCCCCGACTACCTTTTCCTCCACCCCCCCTCCGGTCGACTAATTCGCAGTAGAGATGTCGTCTTTGATGAGTCCACCCCGTACTACTCCTCTCCTCCGTCCACTGACCCATTCCCCCCTCTCACCCGTCCCCTTGTCTGGTCTGACACCACCCCTACCCCTCTCCTCCCTCCTCCCTCCATCCTCCCAACCCCTCCCCCTCCGCCCTCCCAGTCCCATGGTGCCCCCCCCTCGTCTAGTGACATCTTCCACCCGGACCCTCTGTCTTCCCCTGTCTCCCCCGCTCACTCCTCCCCCGGTGCCCCTCCCCCCCCTCCCTCCCAACCCTCGCCTCCCTCCCCCCCTCCCCGCACCACACTCACCCGGTATCCTCACACCAGGTCATGCGACGGTATCCTTGGTGCACCACCCCCTGTTACCCTCTCTACCTCTACCCTTCCCCCTCTCTCTCCCCTCCTTCACCACTTCTTCCAGGCTGTCTTGCATCAAGCCCCTCATGCATCCGCCCCCTCAGCCACCTCTCCACCATCAGCAGCGGCAGCTCCAGCAGCAGCACCCGCAGCGGCACCAGCAGCGGCACCCGCAGCGGCACCCGCAGCGGCACCAGCAGCGGCACCAGCAGCGGCACTAGTAGCGGCACCCGCAGCGGCACGTGCAGCGGCAGCAGCGGCACCAGCAGCGGCACGTGCAGCGGCAGCAGCAGCGGCACCGGCAGCGGCACCAACAGCGGCACCCGCAGCGGCACCAGTAGCGGCACGTGCAGCGGCAGTAGCGGCACCAGCAGCGGCACCAGCAGTAGCACGCGTAGCGGCACCAGCGACCATCCGCGCCTTCCACACCTCCCTCTCTGAGGACTCCCATGAGGAGTTC